CTCAGACTCTCCCTTAAAACGGCTGAACCATTTTTCCACCTCTCTACATTTTCAATCCTAATGGCTTCAGTGCGTGGCACAAAATTCTGCGTTTTCTTTTAATCCAGCAGGATGCCATAATTAGGGATATTTCATAAATCTTGCGAATAAAAGAGAAAGCAAAATCTTGTGACAGGTCCAAAATCATTCGTACTGAAACAATGGAGAGTTCAAACATAACATTGGCGTGTCTTGAAAACGGCAGCCATATGACAACCGTTTCAATTATTGAAACTATCCGAATTGTGTGCCCTATGAGTCCAATTTGACCATACAGAGTCGGTAAACCTGGAAGTTCATTTTCCATTTGACGTGTAGATGAAGAGCAGAAAATATTTCTGTCAGTGCCACCAATCACCTGCGCACACAGGTTGTTGTTTCCATTAGATTCTCTCAGGCGCAGCGTTGACCAGCGAGAGAAAGACCGATAAAATCAAACATGTTCATAAACAATGTCAGCCGTAGCAAGCGCTCGACGGTAATTAGCTGAAGGGAGGTACTTTGCGGTGAGAACATTAGATAGTTTAGCAAAGATATAGTCTCAAGTTTCAACAAATCGGTTCAGTGAATGTGAGAGGGATGAGTTACGTAACAGAATTCATAATATCTTAAATTGAAGCCAGCGTGAGGGCTGAATCCCCCTTCCTGTGACATCAGTATATGTGAATTCACCTGAAAATTTGTCAGAAGTTGCTTATGAGATTTCATATATTTTTTGGGAGTAAATTAGAAAACATGTTAAAAATAGAAGCAATCTTTCCCTCTGAAAACTGAACCAGGATCTTCGACATTGCAATAATTCAAATAACAATATTATCCGTCGTCGAATTCATGGCTGATAATGTAATTTTTGTCAGACGTCAGAGTCTGTTACTGCACCCTTCAAAAAGGAAGATAAGCTTGCAACTATTGAAATGACGATTTTCTTTGCACTTTCATAATAGGTCAATTTTTGGTGCCGTTCTTTTCATGACGCTGGTCTCGATTCCTATGCATCGCAATCAACCATGAGTGCCTTATTGTAAAAGCGTAGTCGCCATTCTTCGTGGCTAAGCATATTGTGTAGTCCCTTGTCTCTTTTCCACCTCATAGCCAGAAGATGAGTTATCCAAACCGGAGCTTGAATCATGGGCCTCTCAGTTCTGAGTCCAATTATCTCTTGACCAATCAAGCCTGGCGTGGAGGAACGTGCAATAAACTTCTTGCCCAGTGGAATTCGTGGTTAAGACAAAAATTGCCCTCACCCAAAATCTGACCCCGACACCTCCAGAGTTTGAAGCCGGCATTTTAGGCAATGTGCCACCACGCCATAATTCAACGTTTGACTCGGTTTTTGGTTTTCCATTGTAGAATTAGAAAAGCTTTGTATTTCTCTCCTAATCACAAATTTGAAAGAAACATATCAACACCAATTTCCAAGTGCTTAGCTACTACGTAAGTCGCATTCAACCTTCGGCAAGGCGAATGAGGTTTAATTACTGGTGAGCAACTCCATTAGATATTAATATTGACAAGAGATGTACTTGAATTGGTGTGCTATAATGGAAGTAAGTGGAACACACTGATTGCAAGTTGTAAGACTTTAAGGCTAACCGAAGTTTTTAGCAGCAGTTGTGACGGAATAACGATGACACTTATGCGAGAGGAAGGCGAGCATCAAACATATAGTAAATTTGATAGCTCCTTTGGAGAGAGAGAAACAACAATAAAAGGGGGGGGGACAAACACTAAATGGAAGTAATGTAAAACAACGAAAAGAATCAAATCGAAAAAATAAACTTGCTAACGTGTCTTCGAAAGAACGCGACAAGCATTCCTTTAGTGAGAATGGGATTAAGTAATATATAAAATGTATATAATACAAAAGATGAACTAACACATATAACGGTAAGGCGTCCCGTTCCATGTAGTAAGTTAGAAATATCGAGTGGACCCGAGTTCATAATATTCAGGAAAGGATTTTGACTTTGGCTACAAAAATATTTCATAGGTTACAAATGACATGATGAGTCCTTTAATTAGGATCTGAATAGCTATCAGTAGAACACAAAACTAGAAGACAGATAATGGTACTGCTTAGAAGGGGTACCTAAGAATCTGAATCACGAGGTAACCTGCCAATCCTTGACATATGAATGCTTGTGCCAGAAAAAGAGCTCCTTACTGGTGCAGTGTTTTAGGGGAAAAACGAACCAGTATTACTATTCCTTACTCACTGCATTTAAATTAACTGTCGAAGAATGCGTTCCTACGTGTGATTGAGCAATGTGTGAAGTACAGTCCGTATCCGAGGAAAACATGCAGTG